ATTTTTTGATATTTTATACGTTAAATATAAAAAATTATGTGCATGTTAATAAACAGACATCTACAAATGGTCCAACTTTTAATAGTACTTAAACAACTATTATGGCTATGTTAAATTGTCTAATCTTTTATATATTCACAATTCTTTTTCTTTTCTTTTTTTATAATTGGCACATTTTATATTTTACTGTTGAAAATCTCTTTGTAAACATCAAATTTACAACCTGTCAATCTTCATTTTACATTTTGAGTATCCGAAAAATCCCCAATATGTTACTCTCCATAATCTGAGTTTCTGGAACTTCTTAAACAAAAAAAAAAATGATAATTATTTATGACCCAATCCAAGAGAATTGATTTAGTTGTATCAGTTCTATATTGGTAAGCTTTCATTAAAAGAATTGACCATTTCTTGCATTTGTGGAACAAAAGAAATTTTAAAAATATATATTATTGTAAAGATTAAAAAAATTCCCTAGCAGACTAATAAAAAAAGAAATGTGCATTCTCAGAATTTTGTTGTGTTTATCGATTATCTCCCTTGAGTGCTATTGAAAAATCGTTTTCAAAAAAGAAACATTTATTGTTTTGGTCGTCGATCAGTTGCTATTTTTTTTTACAAACATATACCCATAATATATTTTTTATATTTAAGAACGTTATTTTCTTTATTGTTTTTTTTTTTTGTTTTCAAACGTTGTTTTGTTTCAATTGTAAAACAAAAAATTGTTAAAATGAAATAGTCTGTGTAAAGTTTATTTATTTTTTTGACACTAATATTATTGTTTAGTTTCACCGTTTCGCTTCCACAGAAAAGGAAAGAGACAAAGGAATATATATAGAAAATGTAAGTAACGCTATCAGAATTGCCTTGTTTCGTGTTTAAGTAGTTAATATAAATGTTAAAAAAGACTGTTTTCTCCAATTTTGAATAACTTATGCTTGCAAACAATTTTTTCAATACTTTCAATATTTGCTATCTGCAAATTTTTGGAATTATATGTTTCTTTTTAGTCCCACCATAATCTAGAATAATACATGAAATTATAGCTAATCCATTGCAAAAAATTAAAAATTTTATTTCTTCCTGATGCCTTCAGGAACTAAAAATTATTTTCGATTTTCCATAATAAAATAAATTTGTATTTGTTTTCACGTAAAAATTAATAATGATGTACCGTTTTCGTCTGCGTTTAAATGGACGATTCTCTAATGAAAATTTGTTTTCGAATATATTTTTATCAAAAAAAATTTAATTATTTCTCTGAATTTCTTTTTTTTTAATTTTTTTTCATAAAATTTTGAAAACAAACACAGGTGAAAAATCCTTAATAAGATATTTAAAATTTTTATTTTTTTTTTTTTTTTATATTTTTAACTAAGAATTTATTTTTTTTCAACTCCCAGAATAAGTTTGATTTTTGAACTTTGCAAAAAATAATCTGGAAAATAAGATACTTTATTAAATTTTGGAAATTTAAAACTAAAAAAAAATATATAACCTTTATGAATCGTTTTTTAATTTTAAATGCAAATTTGTTTTTTTTTTTAGAATTATATAAATTTAACTTAACTAAAAATACGCTCGTAAAAATAAAAATGATAATTACAAAAAAAGTAGATTTTTTTTTAATTTATCAATATCAAAAAAAAAAATGATTTTTTTTTTATCATTTTAGAAGAATTTTCAGGATTTTTTCATATGGAGGTCTACATAAATGCAATACCTCCTAACCTGGTTTTAAAAATAAAATTCATTTAAAAAAAAAAATATTTTGAATGGATAGTTTTTTTTAAATTTAATTTCAATTTTCAAGCTATAAAAATTATTTATTTTTGAAATTATATTAAAAACATTTCAAAATTTTCGTGCAATTTTTTTTTTTTTTTTTTTTTTTTTTAAATGTCATTAACGTAATTCTTCAAAGATTTATATTGTCTTAAACTAAATTTCAAAAAATAAAATATAAAGGTTCTGAAACTTGGAGAAAATTAAATTAAAATATTAAAGTATAAATATATATATATAAAAAAATATTATTTACTTAAGTTTAAAATATCGCAAATGTAACAGGAATAGATAAATAAATATGACCATCATAATCAAAATCGGTAAAATTATTTCAGGAATATAACGTCACGCATGTCAGCAATCTTTTTTTTTTTTTTTTTTTTTTTTTGTCAAACTTAAAATTTAAACAAATATTCTTATCTAATCGTTCTATTAAGTTTTAGGTGCATTGAATAAAATTAATTTACTATAAACAATAGTTTGTAATGTCGAATTTTTAAAGTTTTCTGAATAAAAAAAAAAGAAAAAAATTTGTATATAAAAATTCAAAAAAAAAAAAGTTTTTTAAAATTTGGCGGTCGAAATATAAAAACTTTTTCATTTATATAATTAGTAAATACACACACTTGACTTAAAAACATATCACTTAATCAGGTAAAATACCTTTTTTAAATAAGATATCTCCACGAAATCGCTAAAAAAAAGCATAGTCTGATGAAAAAAGACGCCAAAGTTGACGAAAACAAAATTTTATCGTCTAAATGTTTATGTTATTATGAAGAGGAAAGATCAAAGTTTTTTTTTTATTTTTTTAAAATTTTTCCTTCTTTTTAGAAACATTCTAAATTTTGATTAAAAAAACCTTGTTTCTCTTTGTATCAACGGAACTAGTAAAATAACATATAACAAAATTAGCACAATTTTTTTTTTTTTTTTTTGTATGACACATTAATTTGGAAAATCTTGCAAAAATAAAAATAATTGTCAGATGTTAATGAAACTTTCAGAAACTATTCACAGATGATCGAAATTATTATAAATATGTTTTTTTTTTTTAAAAGTCATGGCAGAAATTTTTTTTTATTTATTAACCCCCCATAACTAATTTTATGAAAACTCTAGAAATTCGATCCATCAATTTAGTGATTACAATAGTTAAAAGCACAAGGCTTTGAGGAATGCAAATCATGTTTTTTTTTTTTTTTTTTTGGATCAACCTACCTGAAAATCAGCTCTGAATTGTAACATACAAAACTCAATAAAACAAATATATTATTTAATTTCAAATGCTTTTATTTGCTTTTAGTTTTTTTATGAATATGGACAATATTTTCTGAAAGCAAAAAATTTTTTTCAATGAAAAATGAATTTTTAATACAATTATTTGTTATTTCTTTAATTATAAAAGATTTTTAAATTTTAAGTTGTTAAAATATTAAAAATTAGTTAAAAGCAACATCCACCTTTCAAAATGTCCTTATGAGATAGATCTTTTTTTTAGCGCATAGTAAATTGTATTGTTTTGACTAATCAAAAGATCTGCAGTAATTAAGAAATGTAATTTTGTTTTTATAATTGGGCTGTAATTATGAAGTACGGAAGACCAACCAGAATACAATTAAGTTGCGTTATTTGTTCTCCACTGTTAAGCCACTTTTGTGAAACACATGTAGAGAAGTTAATTTGATTTTTCAATTTCAACTGAGAAGGGTACCTAAAAGTATCAGTATCATCTTATGAAATTTATATGATCTTATTTTTATATTAATCTCAGTTATGCCATTTTTCCATAAATGAAATATCAAAATTAATAAAATGAATAGAAATACAAATAACACAGTAAAATGTAATAAATGTACATAAGATTATAGTATTTTATGTATATTTCTGATAAAATTTCATAAGAAAGGTACCTATAAATTAATTAGATACCTTTCTTATGAAATTTAATCTCACTCTTAAAAGTCTTATTTTAATTTCTTTATAATATATTTTCCATAAAGCATCATAAACGTAAAAAATGAAAGCTAAGTACAAAAAAAAAAAAAAAAAAATTTAGAGCGCTGAAAGTTTTCCTTAAAAATAACAAGGTAAATAATTTGTTCACTTAAATCTAAATAACTTCACTTTTCCCTTCCGTAGAAAGAATTATCCTCACATAATCCGTCAATGTGTCATTCATCACCTGTCAAGTGACGCGAAAGGTTATGACCTGCTTTGTTTTTATTTTCAAATTACATCTTTTTCGGCGCAGAAGCTAAGTTAAGCTTGGTTCAAAATATTTTAAATAAACATTATAATTTCTGATTTTCTTAAAATAAGTTTTGAAAAAAAATAATAATTGATTTTTAAAAGAATTTCAAACTGAGATTTTCATTTTTTTTATAAAATGGAAAAAAAATGGATGCCATGATTGATTTTCTGTCAATTTTGCTGACTCAAAAAAAAAAAACATTTTTAACAAAAATTTCGGACGTGCTAGGAATTTTTAAAAAATACCCCCAAAATACTTTGATCTTTCCTCTTAAAAACAACATGAACATTTAGACGATAAAATTTTGTTTTTTGTCAAGTTTGGTATCTTTTTCATCATGTTATGCTCTCTTTTTTAGCGATCTTATGAAGGTACCTAACTTAATCGGTACAATTTCTGTGTTAATATACATAAATTTAAAAGATTTAAAACTTTATAAATTATTCTAATTAAGATTAAAAATGAAAATTTATTCCTGAAAAAATTCATTATTCATCTATTGTTTTTTTTTAAAACCATGGTGTCCTTAATATATCTTATTCATAAAAGCAGCTAAACTTTTCTAATTAAATATTATCTTGATTTTAATGCATTTTTTAATTTAAGATTCAGAGGAGATTTTTGGTAAGTGCAGGTCCTGCTATTTTACCCATAGATGGGGGAGATAATACAAACAGATCTTGTACAGAGTTAAGCAATTTAGCATGTATGGAAACCCATAACTATCAACTATGTTTGTCCTTTTGTTTCTTTAGAGCTTTCAGTGTTTTGCAACTTGATCCTTTTGTTTCATTTTTTTTTGCTTCGCAAAAAGCTGACACTATATTCCTTACCTGTAACACATCTTAACAAGTGATAACAAATTTTACCTGCTTATCAACGAAACACATGATCTTGCTGATGGAATATTATGCCCTTTTCTTAATTCCTGTCATTTTTCTCAATTGCAGCCAGCTTATGGCCATATCACATTGAAACATTGATTCTCGTATGATCACTAAAGTTAAGCAATGTCAAGCCTGATCAGTACCCCAGTGGGTGACGGCTTGGGAATACTGAGTGCTGTAAGATTGGATATGTGGATGGTATAATCGATAACCATTTGGAATTGGAGACCAGAGATCAATCCCAATCTGGTCTGTTATATTCACTTTGGGAAAGGTATGAATCCACTTTTTCTACCCCTGACCACCAGCTATGGCTTAATTACTAGAACTTGTATTAGTCAAAATGATTATTATCACCCCCAAAATTCTTACAATCTAAAAATATTTTCTAGCTTTAAATAATTTGCAAAGGGTTGAAAATCTATAAAAAACAGATCAATTGCAGACTTTGTTAGTCAAATTTGAAATAGTGTTTGTTCAGATAACTTGTTTTCTTAATTGTAATGAACTCATAGAGTACTCACTTTCAATCCTATTATATATATATATATATATATATATATATATATACAACATCATTTTCTTTGGAGGAAAACCAATCTTTTGTATGTTGAGTGGTGGTCCATTCTGCTTGTACTACCCATCCAATCTGTTTTATATTGTGTAGTTAGGTAGCTGTGGTTAGAAGAGAAATTCAAAAAGAGTTGTTCTCTTTGGTCTGATCAGTTACGGATTCAATTATTTCACATAAGAATTAAAATGAGAAGAGTGTATTTTCGTTTGTTTTTGTTTATTTTTTTTTAATCATTACCCGAGCCCAAAGCAAAGCAATAAAGCCATTAAGATGCAAGGGTGGGGTTTACTTGGTGTTACAGAAAGTGAAGAAAAAAAGCATTATTAAGGAGAAAGAAAATAAAAGAACAGGAATTAAGTTAACGATTAATATTGCATTTAAAATTTTGAAGATCAATGTTTATTGGAAAGCAAGAAGCCAGAAGAAAGTTCCACAAGCAAGAAGTATGAGAGAAAAACTGTTAGCATAGAATTTAGGATTACATCTAGCAATTTCAACTGTAAAATGATGGGACCTAGCTGCCAATCTAGTACTATGCTTAAATTCATAAATTTGAGGTACCAAAGAAGAAAGATCCTCTAAATAATTTACATTTATTTATAAAGAAGGCACAAAGAAGTTACATGGGAACTGCATATAAAAGTCACATATTAAAGTCACATATTAAATCAATCAATCTATTGTAGCTGTGGTAAAGGATGGTCTCTACTTAATTTGAATATTTTCAGTATGCTTATAAAAGTTAATTATGATTATTTCCTATGTTGTAATGTTGGTTATTCTTGTGTAACATCTTGATCTAATCATTATCAACCTCCTATGACCTAATTGTAGAGAAATCACCAGCAAACAACTTTTGATGCAGTTGATCATATGAATTGAATAAATGTATTTTTGCATTTCTTTGTTTCCTTTTGATTCTTAAAAATAAAAAAGAATATTTATTTTTAAAATAAGAAAGCAAGATATGTCAATATTTTCCCCATGTCAGTGTTAAAAGCAGTAAAAAAAAACAAAAAACAATTCATCCGTTTTGATAATTTATCAAAAAAATATATGCTGATAAGACAGTTCTCAAGCTACAATTAAAAAACAACCTTTTTAAATGCAGTTAACATTAAATATTCCTAATGCTATTTCATAAATGTATTTGATTACTCACCATAGCCAGTAGTTTCAAATATTCCTGAATAAAATTGTCTATTGTGATGGTGGTGCTCCTGACAATGTTCTATGGATTTTACAATGAATAAACTGTCTTTTACAATACTCCACTGCACTCTGACATGTTCAACTGGAGCCAAAATCAGAAATTGCTCATGTAATAATTTATTTTACATAAGTGTAATACTATCATAACTATTGGGACATTCATGATAAACGGATGTTCCCTCAGGGAGACCCCATGACTTGAACACTTATTGAGACTTAAACTCAAGATTTCAAGTGGAACTCCTACATATGATCCATCACTAAAGATGATGAAAATGATCGATTCCCTGTACTGATCCAGCAAGTACCCCACTCCTACTATCTTCTACAAGAGCAAGATCAGGCTGAAAATGAAGTTCTGCTGCCATATATGGGCGGGATCACTGCAGGCTTCACTTTTCATTCTTGATAGTTCAAAAGCGTGTCCACATCCTTGCAGGCAACAAATTATTTTCCACTCTGCAACCCCATTTCTCACAGACGATACATTGCAAGCCTCTCACTGCTCTATCAATATTTATGCGGTGAGTGTTCAGATGAACTACTCTCCACAGTTTCACCAGTCCTAACTTTTATAGCTAAGACCCACCATGCAACACACATTGTAGCAAACCACCGTCATTCCCTTCATATACCCCTGGTGAGATGTAAGTTCCACTCAGCTTCTTCCCATGAACTGCTGCTTTGTGGAACCAACTCCCAAGAGGTTGCTTCTTCGATCACTACAATCTTAACCTGTTAAAGTCTAGGGTTAACCATTACATTCTGTACATATCTGTATAAATTGTACCTCTTACTCTATAACCATCTACTTCAAGTAGCCCCACTGTAACGAAACAAAAACAACAATTGTTGGTTCCAATCCCTTTCAAATGACTGCTAAATCCTACAGATGCATGCTGGGATGTCTTTCTAACCAATACAAATTAACCCTTTCTCGGTCTCATCTGCCATATTTTTGTTCTTTCTTGTCTTGAAGTCAGAATGTTACAATCCCTGTTTTCTTTTTGTGCATGATTGCAATTCTTAGTGTGTGATATTTTTACATTTAAACATGGTTAATTACTCCATAATTATATCTGTAATGTTAAAGGTAAAGATCTCACCTCAAACATTTTTTTTTTTTTTTTTTTTTTTTTTTTTTTTAGCTATTACACTTTGTCCATAAAAGTAATATTTTTTTCTTTTCTAATTAATTAGAACAGTTATTAACAACTATTTTTTTCTAGAATTGCTAGGTTTGGTTTGTTTGATGACATATCAACTCCTTAGCAGTTATTTAATACCAAAATCTGATGCTTAATTACAGATATAATTTATTAATTTAACACAATCTTCAATGTTTTTTGGTTTGTAACCGTTTCATCAAATTGAATTTCACTGACAAAACTTGGGTCAACCTATGATATGTTTTTTTTCAGCCACTTCCCAATAGGATCATCTCCCCAACATGATATTATCAAGAATTCACCTCCTTGACAAATTGACTATGCTGAGATTCAAATCTAGGATCATGGTCTGAAAGCTTATAAGACTAAAGATATTTTCTGACTTTATATAACCTGCAAAGTGTTGATAAGCCATCAAAAATTAATCATTTATGCATTAGGCATACATGAATAGACAGTTTTTACATTTTTCTTATTAATTGCACTTTTTCAGGATATTGCTGATGGCTTGACTATAAAAAGCAAAACTATTTACTGTTAAATTTAAACATGTACATTTTCTCTTACTACATATTCTACACCAGGGGTTCCCAACCTTTTTTGCATCATCACTGATATACAGAGACAATAAAAAAAACTCCTTTCTTTCCTCCTCTTCCTTTCCTTTCCTGTCCTTTCACTCGCTGACACCCGTTTGCAAAGAAAAAAGTTCCTTGCTCATCATCTTTCCAGCTTTTATGCAACCACCACTCACCCATAATGCATTGGTACTTCCCTATATGAACATTACTTCCAATTTTCTAGCTTTTTGCTTCTGGCACCAGTAAGTTTTCACTTCTTTTCTCTCATCTTTTTACCACAGCCCACTTTCACATGGAAAAATTTCCCACCACCCAGTTGTATTGTAAATATTCAAAAGTATACCAAAATTGTTTGGTAAAAGTTTTTGTTACTGGTTCATAAACTGATTTTATGATTTAGTAAAATGTACTAAAGGGAGATAACAGATAATGCAAACTTATGTGGCTACTGCTGTTATTACCATATTAAAGAAGAAAACAAAAGAAAACTTAACCAATGAAAACTATATATGTATGTTTTATAGTTAAGGTTAGCATTGACAAAAAATTAAATTTGGTTTATAATTAAAAAATTAAAAAGAATATACAGTACTAGGAACTGATAGAAATTCAGTGAATATTTTTTATTGTTCTTACTGTTCCTTTATCTGATTTATATCCAAAACAATGTTATTTTGTCTGAAGAACTATAGAAAATACCAAAATATTCATTATTTGCAGGGATATTTATATCTTATGTACGGATATAACCCAGTTATGGTCTTTAATGCAAAGAACCTGTATAAAAATTTTAAAAAAAAACAGGAGGCAAAATGTTCCCATTTAGCCTCTTGTTTTTTTTTTTTTATACAGGTTCTTTGCATATCTCCTTTGAATATTTATACATTCTTAATACTCAAAATTGTACATTGTCTACCAAAATTTTCAATCATCCACCATTTTCTGTTCATTTGCTTATCATCCATCCAACAGTTGAAAATGCCCACCAGTGGACGATATCACCCACGTTGGGAAACCCTGTTCTACACAATTCAGAAAATATTAAATCTGTTAAAATATGAGGTGTCAAAATCAAAAATTATCTTTCCTGAATTTCATTTTTTTTGCTTTAATTATAAATGATTTCACAAAATTACACTAATTTTCTTTGTTAAATATTAGAATATAAAAAATAATTCTCAGATATTTTAAGCAATGTTTTTTCTAATAAAACTTATACAAGTGTTTAAATTATATTCTATTAAGTTTGAAGAACAGTTGTATTTAAAAACCTATTAATGACTGAACATTGCATATGAGATATGCTGGAGTTAATTAAAAAAAGATTGAATTCTGATAATGTTATATTTGTAATGCATGAGTCAACTGTTTTCATTAATGCTCTTCATTCACAGATATTACAGTGGAGAACAATTCATCTGATGGCCACATGTAAAAAATATTGTATAAAGAACAGGAGTTTGAATTTAAAAACACAAGCAAACATATAAACCATCATTTTATATACTGTATGATTCTGCATTTGAATGGAGTTAAAAGTTGCAAAAATATATTCCCACTTACATTGAACAGAAACTGTAAACTTATCAAGTGGGTGGGTCAGTATTTTCACAAAGTTCAGTTGACACAATAATTATGGAAACAC